GAACTTCCTATACCACATGACTCAAAATCCATGAGCAGGTGCTTGGGATTATTTTCTTATTATGCGAGATGGATCCCAGCGTTTTCAGATAAAGTAAAGCCTCTTTCCAGCTGCAAGACCTTCCCGCTATCCCAGCAAGCTGTTGATGCGTTCGAAAGCCTGAAGAAATCAATAGAGAAAGCTGTTGTTACTGCTGTTGACGAAAGTATTCCGTTTGATGTTGAGACAAACGCCTCGGATGTGGCTTTAGCAGCCACACTCAACCAAAATGGTAGACCTGTGGCCTTCTTCTCACGAACACTCCAAGGCAGCGAGTTGAAACACGCAGCTGTCGAGAAAGAAGCTCAAGCCATTATCGAAGCAGTGCGCCATTGGAGACATTTTCTAACAGGGAGACATTTCACTCTCAAAACTGACCAAAAGTCGGTTTCGTATATGTTCGACGTCCAACATAAAGGAAAAATTAAAAATGACAAGATAATGCGTTGGAAACTAGAGTTGGCTTGCTACAGTTTTGATATCGTTTATCGTCCTGGGAAGTCGAATGTTGCACCTGATACGTTATCTCGCGCTACTTGTGCTACAACGTCCGAGTCACTCTACAACCTTCATGAATCACTTTGCCACCCGGGTGTTACAAGATTATACCATTTTGTCCGATCAAAGAATCTCCCTTATTCTCTCGAGGAGATAAGAAGGATTACAAGAGCATGCAAAGTATGCAACGAATGCAAGCTTCAGTTCCATCGCCCGGAACAAGTTCATCTCATCAAAGCTACGAAACCGTTTGAAAGGCTCAATGTGGATTTTAAGGGCCCGCTGCCAACGACTGATAAGAATCGGTATTTCCTCAATGTGGTCGACGAATTTTCACGATTTCCATTCGTGTTTCCATGCCCTGATATGACAACAACCACTGTGATCAAGTGTCTCACTACGCTCTTTTCTCTTTTTGGTATGCCAGCTTATATTCATTCTGATCGAGGGGCAACATTTATGAGCGAAGAACTGCGAACCTTCCTTATCGGAAAAGGAGTAGCCACAAGTCGTACAACTAGTTACAATCCCGAAGAAAATGGTCAGGTAGAGCGGTACAATGCCATAATCTGGAAAGCAATCGTCACCTGCCTTAAATCGAAGAATCTTCCAGTAAACTATTGGCAAGAAGTTCTCGCGGACGCTCTACATTCGGTGCGCTCACTTTTATGTACAGCGACAAACGAGACACCCCATGAACGTTTCTTTAGTTTCTCCCGAAGATCAACCGTTGGAAGCTCTATACCTTCATGGTTATTACAGCCTGGACCTGTTCTGATTAAACGTCAAGTCCGATCAAGCAAACATGACCCGCTCGTAGACGAAGTAGAATTGCTTCAAGCTAACCCTCATTACGCTCACGTGCGCTATCCAGATGGCAGAGAAACGACCGTAGCTATTAAGCACCTTGCACCTCGGGGCCAGGAAATGACCTGTCAACCATCGGTGGCACGAAACGACAACAACTCAATCTCGAATGCTGAGGTAACGGGCAGTCCTGCTGACGATACAACTGATGAGCCACGAGATTTCGGAAGATCAAACGGAGAACAAGGTGACTCAACCCACAACGAACAATCCTCTTCGATAGAGAAACCAGGAATTAGTCATTCGGTAGAAGAACATAATGCAGACTTTTCCTTAAGACGGTCGACACGCACGCGTCGACCTGTTGACAGATTAAACTTATGAATTGGTCATATCATTGATAGATTAGACTTTTAAATTATCTTATAAACTTTATTAGTTTATATTTATAGGTAGATTTATTAAGACTATTATGACTTTATTAGTTTCTCGTTAGTAGGTAGAACATTAGGACGGGGAGAATGTTATGAATATTTAATGTATGTTCTGAGCCAGAGTATAAAGGTCAGCGTATGACCCACAGAATGTAAACATTATCTCGACCGCCATATTTGTAAAATGTTAGGTACAATTTTAAGTTGAATAAAGCCTATTATAACGGCATCTTTCGTAGTTTTCTCACAACAGTCTGTGTATTTGTGTGATCCGTTTGTGTATTTGTGCGTCTGTGTATTTGTGCGTTTCCCATGATCCACGAATCATTAACGAAGTCAGAAAACAGATTCAAATTCCTGTTGTACTATTTCATAAATCCGGTGTTTCAAAAGATCTCTTCGATTATATAGAATCACTATTCAAATAAGAATAACTATAGATGTTGAAATTATGGGTTATTGAATTATTTAAAGGTATATTATGGTCAAATCATATCCAACTTCCACGTGTTTGCGCCATACACTGTGTATACATAATGTTCTGTTTCACAAAAGGCTCGCTTAAATACTTTAGTTATTAATTCAATTATTCAATAAAATCTTTTCCGATTGTATATAATGGTTGTATCTATCCCTGTTGCATGTGGTCAACATTTCGGGTGGATTTTGGTGTGTTATGTAGCAAGAACTGCGTCAAGGAATGTAAGTGTATTAGGCTAACATAATTTCAACATCATCTATAGTTATTCTAGTTTGAAGATTTATACATCTATAGTTATTCTAGTTTGAATAGTGATCCTATATAATCGAAGGAGTTTCCCTATATGTCGTGTGTCGTGGGTTAAAAGTCGTGTGTCGTGAGTAAAGTCGTGGGTAAAGTCGTTGGTAAAGTCGTGGGTCATAAAATGTGCCGAAAACGCATTTTTTTTTCACGAAAGTATTATTTTTATTTTAAATATTTTTTTCGTACTTTTTTCCATTTATGCGCTAGATAAATACAGGAAAATTTAACGCAACAAATCTCCATGCAGTAATAAAGTAAAATACATGCTGTTTTCTTATCTTGCTGTTATCTATATAGTATAACAAGTACTGAAATGTTTCCGTTTCGTATAGTCTAATAAGTCTATAGATGTATTGTTTGATGATAAAATGTCTTAAGTTATAGGATATAGGTTTATTAGCTTTGGAAGTGTGATAGTCCCTATCATGAACGTCGCGAATGTAACTATGTCGATTGCATATGTCTGATACAAACATATTGATTGAGCTATAAATTCTACGCTGTCGGTGGCCAAGGCTCGAGCCTCAAATTTTTCTATTTTATCTCCTAGTATATGTTCGTGGCCCTTAAAGATAGACAAACATTTCATGTTTATGTGACGTTCGGAAATATTCCATAAATTGCTACGATTTGGGATTTTGCGATTGAAAACCGAAATGATTTGTGCGATGTCGGGCTATTTGCCAACCGAGCGCGCTAGCCGCTGTTATTTTGACAGAATATGATACCTCTACACTTTTCAGCCGTAATACATAATGCGCGCATTGTAATCATATACATATCGTTTAATTTAGCTTCAAAAACTTGATAAAAATCAAAATTGCTGTATTTTGTTAAATGTGCGCAGCATGTTGTTTCGACACTGTCGCTCACACACGGAAACACTGCAAGGCTGCAAATATGTCACACAATCATCCTCATAGACGCTGACTACGCTCGTTTGTTTTAAACCAACCAAAATAGCTTCCTAGTCTAACGCTGCTACGCAAATATTTTCTGTTCGTTAAATTTGTAGTTTAGCTATATTTTCAGGTCTTTCAGTCTCAGTGTCGTGTTGAAAGCTTCGAACACATGTACTTAGGTCTATTTCTAAATAACGGACCACCAGCCGCATGGATTTCGTATATCGCAAGAAAGCAACTAAACGTTTATATCAAAAGCTTTATTTTAAATAATACAGTACTATATTTATCGCTTAAACGTCCCCTGCACCGCAATAGTAGCTACAGATGACTAATTGTTTATATAATGCTGGTTGCGCCGTACGCGCAAGTTTGATTTTTGTTCTGGCGCCTGGCGGATTGAATTGCAAATGATCCAAATGATCCACAAAAAGCAAATGATCCAAATGATCCACAAAAAGCAAATGATCCAAATGATCCACAAAAAGCAAATGATCCAAATGATCTACAAAAAGCAAATGATCCAAATGATCTACAAAAAGCAAATGATCCAAATGATCCACAAAAAGCAAATGATCTAAATGATCCACAAAAAGCAAATGATCCAAATGATCCACAAAAGCAAATGATCCAAATGCACCAGCCAAAAAGCAAATGATCCGAATGATCTACAAAAAGGAAACGATCCAAATGCACCAGCCCAAATGCACGATCCAAAACAAATAGGTAGCTAAAACTAGTATTATTTAAAAAACAAAGAACAAAACGAAATGATATAATTCCATTATCTCCTATTGGTGTGACGTCACTCTTGACTTGTGACGTCACCCGTGACTTGGTATATCGCGCATAAACCTTTTGATCTTTGTCAATTGGCATTAAAACCGCAAGAACTACGGACAAGTGACCAGGGCATGATTAACGTCGCGCGAGGCCCGTGGCAAATTTTAGCGCGAGGCCCCCAAACCTCCCCCTTTCTTCTTTTTATGAAAACCATTGAATTTAAAGACACACAAAAGTGTTAAATAATTTTTTTCAATATTTCAATTTATTTGCATCAATTATAAACGAGATAATGGCCTGCCTGGCGCAGTTGGTGGGTATAAACAAGATCATAATATAACAGCTCAACGCAACTAGAGATTATATGAACACGAGTATTGCATATTTTCCCGGGGCCGTGCTAGGGCGAACTGCCAAACCTAGGGGCCCTAAATGAGCGAGGTTTTCTTTAAACGCGACGTGTGGGGAGACAATAATTATTTGTGGTGTCGCACTGGGCCACAACATATCTCAATGCTGTATTTTTGGGTACTAGTACTTGTGAAATATAATAAGATCAATAGACATTAGTGTATCAAAATAAAGTAATTTTTAACTGTACATCAAAGTAAACACACATTATTCTAAACTACAGTATTTGCTATATGCCTATAATTTGAGTTTGAGGTGGTAGAATATATAATAAAATAACAAATTCTTGTATTGATAAATGTTCATTTCACACGCACGCTATTAACAGCTGCTTAATAATTAATTAACTTATGTATTCGTAAACATTTATACTCGATAGTCGATATGTAAATACTATTAAAATGGTACATTATATGGATCAATGCAAACTGGAACAAAACAACAATTGTCAATTGAAGTTCTAATTTTGGGAAATTTAGTAACAAATATAAAATCCCTAAACGGCTCATCGATTTGTATGTTTGTGCTACTTTTAAGTAGACAATATTGAACAATGATCTGAAGTTGCCATGCAACTGACAACAATATTATATTTCAAAATACCTGTATATGATGATATTTTACAAATATTTCGGGATTTTTGGACCAATTTTAAACTAAGCAAGGCAAAAAGTCTCCATTCAAGAATATATCTTCTTCTCAAAAGGTAAAATGCTTAAAATACTTGATTAAATTGTTTACCTCGACGGTATGTAAATTAACAGCGTTTGACTTGCAAGACGTCAAAAACGGACGATTTCAACGCGCTGTCGTTTATTGCGTATTCATTTGCCAAAAGAAGTATTTACGTCAATTGAAAGCTTGCTTATTAAAGAGCCAACTAGTAGAAGCATGATCGATTTGGAGCTTTATCGCATGGTGAAAATCGGTTTTGTTAAGAGGGTATCGTAAATGAAGTAAGATAGTGTGCTCCAAAACTACGACTATATCTATTCCTAAAAGTAACTCAGATTTCCTGTAAGTCATGTATACCGTCCTTTGAATAACCGAAAACAAGATTTTTAGGGTTTTAGATCGATTAGAAACGGTTGTCGTCGTGAAATTTATCTGTAAAATCAGCGCATATTTTCCCAGAAAAAATGGCGATTTGGGGTGGTCGTGTTAAAACGGCATTTTCTCAAAGTTAAAAAAGCATTTAACCTAAAAAAATATATGGTGCATTTTCCGATATAATAAGGTATATCTGGGCAAAATTTGAGCAAAATTGATTTTTCAGTCGTGGCCGCGAAATGTCTCATCTGTTCGATTTTTACTGACATTCACTCTCAAAATGTATTTATATTTAAAGAAAACAATGACAATCCTTATGAAAATTACAATAATTATATTAAATTAAGCATAGTATTTCATCCCATGATAATTTTTTTTAGGAAATAAGAACATTGAATTTCTGCCAGGCATATTAGTTATTTTGTGCATAATCAGCAATTTACCTGAGGTGGTGCATAGTCATTTTCTGGCAAAATATTATACTCAGACAAATTTTTCCTTCCAATGACCACCCCTAAAAGCAACCCTTCTAAACACTATAAGCACTTTAGAAAGGCTGTCACTTTTGCTTTTCGGAAGTTAGAGCTATGTCGGCACTGCCGTTTCAGGGCGGGATCATTTTCAGGACTTTCGCCAGGTTTTGGCACATATGCCATGTTGACCGCCATGGTCATTTTACCCTAAAACAGTTGAGATTACCTGTGCTAAATGAAATGCATACAAACATCTATACAGGTCCTAGACTAGAAGACTCATCAAGCGTTAGAACGTCCGAATCATTATCAACGGGAGGAAGACTGTCAAGTGATTGATATTCCTGCATCGGTTCTAGAAGGGCAGTATTTATAAGGTTGGCAATATCCTTATTTGACTTTCCATCAAGTCCATCAACATGTAATTGGGCGTGAATATTCTCGGTTGGTGTCGCTGGGATCATTCCCGATAACTTTTTAATCTCGTTCCACCACTGACTTGGCTTAACATTCATGAGGTTCGCAACACTCGAGGTGTAATATCTGC